AAAGCCACACGCTCTACCGACTGAGCTACCCGGGCTTACTATGCTTCCATAACTAGCATTTATTTAATAGTGCAGACGTTGACAGAGATTTTATGGACACTGTTCATGTCAGGTTTACTTACTATGAATGCTCGCATTTACGTAACTTCGAATGGCATTAGATATGAATAACTGGTTGAGACATGACAAATAATAGTTCATCTTCATACATAATTCGGAAGTTTGAAACCTGAAAGTTGAATTCGATTATTGAAATCTCTTTTCAGACATTTCATTATTCAATTATTAAATAATTGAAGTCAAGATACCCAACTTTCCAATTATTTACTTTCGTGGGATTTCTATTGACAGAAATGTGCTGTGTCCTTTTGTGGCATCCACATCGAGTGAGATTTGGTATATGTGTCTGAACCACTCAGATAATGAATACATTCAAGTGTTTACTTTAATTGTTGTGTAATTAAATAGACAAATCCAACTCTCTTGTGTGATATATATAGACAAAGTGGAGATTTATAGGCGCAATGTCATCCTTGTCACTTCTAATTTAAAAAAAAACTACTTTTCTAGCCAGGAAACATAACTTTTCAAAGATAACGTGTGTCTTTGTTCTGTTGATAGTTGTGAATGATGTATGAACATTGCGAAAAACTTCTTCAAATAGAAGACTGTCTAAATTTGCGAGAGAAGGCTCTTATCATACCACTTGTCCAATATCGCTGATCTACCAAAAACTCATTGACTATGTTGATATAGCAGAAGGTGACTCAAATCTACCTGGAAATATTCATTTTGACCTGCTGAATCGAAATTAAGTAATTTTAGAAAATCACAATGAGTACAAAGCAGTTATGTCCATCGCAGCTGAAGGCATAATGCTGCTGCAATAGTTATTTTGAAAAGTGTGTCGAATTTCACTGCTGCGACTGTATTTAACCAGAAATATTGGCATCAGTCCAATTAGATTCATTCAGTCTCAGGTTGTGTCATTTGAAAACACTGAAATTCTATCAAATTCATAGAGTTTTTTTTATGTCCTCGAAAAAAATGTTGCCGCGCCGCCATGAAAGTCTCTGTTACGAAGGGGATGAAACTCGGAGTTAATTTCGAATACGATCATTGAATTATTTTAGACATTTATTTTGATATTTTCATGATTTGGAACCTAAAACTTGATCAAAATGCAATAAATAATAGATATTTGGAATGGACTCAATAAGACCCAAGAAACTCTCATTAAATAAAAAACAACTTTTCTCTGTACTTTTTATTTGGATAAACTTAAGTGTGGGTGTAAGTACAGAAGTACCTACGCACTCACATCCATATCACAGGCACAGGCACACCCTCACCTAACTCAGATAAACCTTTAATAACATGCATTTGCTTCATCACTTTGGAAAATTTCGATTATTATCCTATTAAATCTTGTACATCACGTATTGATACACTAGCACCACGAGCTACTCGATTATAACGAGCAGGTTGAGTTTTAAAAAGTTTTGCTCCATCAGGATGATCAAGTTCTTCAATAGATTTAATGGAAAATAAAAAAACCTAGTTTCTTTGGATAAAACTTCTACTAACCACTGTCATTCATACTGTCCATAATATAAATCATTTTTTTCACACGTGCTTGTGATTCTCGTTCATTACTTTTTGACATAAATTCTGTGCCAAATCCAGAAAACATATTTTATTTAATAAAAATAAATAAATTTATTTTAATTGATAGATGTTGTTTTCAAACTAACCATAACTTGTCTAAGTGGACCTATTTTCATGATATTTTGAAATTGTTAATACATATTTCGCAATGTATATTGACTAAAATAAGAATATATATGCATATATATTTAATCATTATTTGTATTTTATAAGAAACATTTGATCCATTTCAACGTATTCTGAGAAAATAGTATTTACTGTGAACCGAAAGTTAAATTAGCAATTTATCTACCAAGTACTTGTGTCGTTACCGGCAAATTATCTCTTGTAAAGCTATGCACAGTTGTTTTGCTCAATCTTATGGTTATCAATAAGTCTTTCCAAGATTACTAAAGTCAGTTATTCTTTGCATTTACATTGAGACACAAGTCTCTGCATATTCTACACTGAATCAATCATTTTTGACACTGAAAAGTTCTTTAACTATTATCATATCGAAAGAAATAGATAGAATATTGCTGATCTTATCTTCAGCAAAAACATAAAAATCTGATTTAGACTCATAATTTCGAATTCACTTAGAACACTTTGAAAGCGACTAAAGTTTCTATGCTCAAGCCTAATATAGAGAAGAGATTGTTGCTCATTATTAATGTGTTTTTGACTTCTTTCAATGGTTCTATTCTTGCTCATATACAAAACACACAAGGAATTTCTTAACTGACATTCAGAAAAAACCGAAAGACTTCACTGATAATCTATATCATTTAGAATACTTTCCCACAAATCAGAAATAAATAAAATACTCTCTCCAAAAAGCTTTGAATCTATTTCATTATTTAATTTACCATCTTTTGTCTTTATGATAAGTTGTTTATTATGTTCCGAACTCAAACCATTGATTTTATCACGTAAACCTAATAAATATATCAACCACATCCCATAATTTATTAATAATTGATTTTGTTTTAAATACTTCAAAGTCATTAATATGTTCACCTATACAGATAAATATAATTGAACTTTTTGTCTCAGTAACTCTAACATAATCAATAATTATATACGCCAGGAAAAAATAGTTCTTGTCAGTATCGCCCCATTAGGAGCCAACATGTGAAACTCACAACATCTGATTTCAAGAAATGTAAAGAATAATGTAACAGGTTTTAAGAGGAGCACCTCCTAAACATATTTTCAAATTTCGTCAGTTTGTAGAGTTAAACCCCAAGAGTCTAGGGTTAAAATGTTTCGCAGATTGGATGTTCTTTGGCAGAATTACAAAAATTTCAAAAATCGGATTTTCCAGCTATTGTGGGATCAACACCCACACCCGCAGTCTCTACAAACTCTACTAAAAAATCTTTGTAATTGAAATTGGCTTCCAGATCGAACTGAAGCACCTACAAAAATATTCATATCATACAAAAGTAGCTCGTTTCGAACCGTGCTTAGATAGAATTACAAAGAAATACAACCTGATAATTTATTACTGAAGAAAAAATGATTCGTTCATTTTAAGGATTTTTTTTATTTGAATACCATTCATTACTGGAAATTTGAATTGATAATTATTTATATCTACGAAGATCAATTATTGTTAGGATTTTTTTATACTCATCGTAGAAGAAATTATTTAAGATCTAATCGGAACTATCATTAAAATCTAATAACAACAGTAAAGCGTACAGATCAATTCAATTGACGTCCTAAAAATATGTGCATATAAAATCTTCAGATATTGTACTATAACAAAGAAAGAGTCTACATCTAACAACAGGAAAATGAATTAAAATTCTAATAGAAAAGCTTTATCAAATAACTTCATTTTGGTTCTGGAAAATTGGAGTTTACATAATCAGATGCGTTTTATAGTCTTCCAAGAGTATCGAACATCATTTTTTATTCATAGATGATTGCTGTCTACCCTCATGAAATGAAAACAAAGTCATGAACTTCGTGATTTTATATCAAAAGCATGAAAAATGCAAATGTCTATTTTTATCAATGAATATGAAAAACTGCACTTTCCATTTCATCATTTTAATACCGATTCTTTTTTTCTCCTTATACATAGTAAAATATACTCAATGCTGTGGCATTACTTGAAAAAAATGGCATATATATAGAAGCAAAGTACGCTTTCATAGAAAGTGGATCTATTGACATTATTTAATTCTCTTCTTTTATTTTATTTTATTTTTAATTTTTAAATTTATAATTTGAAATTTGAATCAATTTAATTTAATTTGATATTAATAGTTTATTTAAATTTAAAATTTACAATTTGTGACGTTTCGTATCTCGATAAGATACTTCATCAGACATGAAAGTTAAGACAAATGACATGTACATACAAACAAATTTTCTTTTTTCTTTTCTTTTAGTATTAGTCATACTTTTGATAG